CCTCCCTCCTCTCTTATTTCTTCCTTTCTATCTTAGTCTATTTAGTGTTTCATGTTACTAACTGGGAATTCTCTATGTAGCCCAGACTGACTGGAGCTTGAGATTTTCCTGCCTCAGCTTTTTGGGTGTTTTGATTACAGGCTTATGTCATTATGCCTAGTGGGAAGAGGTGATTTTATATTATATTTGTTAGCCAGTAAAGTTAGAAATGAAAAAATACAAAACATAAATAATGGAAATTGTATCTAGTTGATGATAGACCTTGATCTTATCGGTCCAACTTTCTAAGCTTTCTATTCAGTCCCATATCTACAGTGGAGACAAATAGGCATAACCAGAGGCTTGGGGCAGGCATGTAAGCAGCAGAGGAAGATGACTCCAGAGATCCAAAGACACCAAGCAATTTTCTTGTAATTCAGATTTCACCTATAGTGAGTCTGAGTTTGGTCTGAGCACACGTGTCTACAGAAAAACATATTACTCAATTCATACGGCTCAATGGCACCGTTCTACTGTCTGCATCTTCATTCGTAGAGAACTAGAGTGACAGACACAGGACATAGACGCAGACAAAGCTGCAGAATCAGTGTGAACCAACATTCAGACTCCAGAGAGTCAGAGCCAGCTTCTCTGTGGGGCGCCTTTCATTTGATGCTGCAGAGCTGTTGTTCTGATAGAAGGTTCACCAGCAAACCCACTACCCTCCTCTGTGCTATCAGAAGCTGCTTCTGTGACCAGATGTTCTAGCTTCTAGAAATGTTTTTCTGCAACATGGGCAGGCACCAGGAATGCTTTTCTTCAATCATGAGTCAGGGACAAACTAAACAAGCATATATAGTAGGTACTTCAAATTGGCTTATATTGGTTTTTTAAATACAGAAGTAATGCCTAAATTATTCTGACTGCAAACTTACTTATGCAAATTATTACACAGAAAAAAACATGGCAAGGCTTTGAATCTGTCAATATGCAGAAGATTGCAAATTGATCCATATCTATTGCACTACACTGCACAAAACTCAAGTCCAAGTGGATCAAAGACCTCAACATAAATCCAGTTATAATGAACCTGATAGAAGAGAAAGGAGAAAACAGCCTTGAATGTATTGGCACAGGAGACTACTCCATAAAAATAGTACCAGTAGCACAGACACTAAAAGCAACAATGAAGAAATGGGGCTTCCTGAAAATGAAAAGCTTCTGTACGGCAAAGGACACGGTAAATGAGCCAAAATGTCAGCCTACAAAATAAGAAAAGTTCTTCACTAACCCAACATCTGACAGAGGGGTGACCTCCAAAATATATAAAGAACTCAAGAAACTAGCCATCAAAATACCAAATAATCCAATTAAAAAATCGGGTACAGATCTAAACAGAGACTTCTCAACAGAAGAATCTCAAATGGCCAAAAGACATTTAAGCAATTGCTCAACATCCTTAGTCATCAGGGAAATGCAAATCAAAATGACCCTGAGATACCATCTTACACTTGTTAGAATGGCTAAGATCAAAAACACTGATGACAGCCTATGTTGGAGAGGATGTAGAGTAAGGGGAACACTTCTCCACTGCTGGTGGAAGTGCAAACTTGTACAGCCACTTTAGAAAGCAGTATGGCAGTTTCTCAGAAAATTGGTTAATAATCTACCTCAAGACCCAGAATTACCACTCTTGGACAAATATCCAAAAGATGCTCAATCATGCCACAAGGACACTTGCTCAACTATGTTCATAGCAGCAGTATTTGTAGCAGCCATAACCTGGAAACAACTTAGATGCCCCTCAACTGAAGAATGGATAAAGAAAATGTGGTACATCTACATAATGGAGTACTACTTAGCCGTAAAGAACAATGACATCATGAAACTTGCAGCTAAATGGATGGAACTAGAAAAAAAATCATCCTGAGTGAGGTAACCCAGACCCAGAAAGACAAACACGGTACGTACTCACTCATGAGTGGATACTAAGTGTAAAGCAAAGGATCTCCAGGCCACGGTTCACAACTCCAGAAAAGCTATGTACGTAACAAGGAGGACCCTAAGAGGGATGCATGGATTGCTCTGGGAAGGGGAAGTAGAAGGGATCTCCTGGGTAAATTGGGGGGTGGTTAGAGGGGACAGGATGGGGTGATTGAAAACAGGAAGGAATGGGATGGTCGAATTGGGGGAGGGAAGGAGAGGGAGAGCAATGAAAGAGGCATCTTGATAGTGGGGGCCATTATGGGGTTAAGGAGAAACTTGGTGCTGGAGAAATTCCAAGGAGTCCACAAGGATGACCCCAGCTAAGACTACTAGCAATACTGGAGAGTGTACCTGAGCTGGCCTTTCCCTGCAATCAAATTGAGGACCACCCCAACTATCATCAGAGAGCCTTCATCCAGTAACTGATGGAACCAGATGCAGAGATCCGCAGCCGAACACCAGGCTGAGTTCCAGGTTGAAGCGTGGGAAGGAAGGGTTATGTGAGCAAAGGGGTTCAAGATCATGAGTGGGAAACCCACAGAGAAGCTGACCAGAACTCGTGGAAGCCTGTGGACTCTAGACCGGCAGCTGGGGAACCTGCACGGGACTGAACCAGGCCCTCTGCATGCGGGTGGCAGTTGCGTAGCTTGGTCTGTTTATGGGACCCCTGGTAGGGGGACCAGGATCTATCCCTAGTGCATGAGCAGGAATTTTGGAGCTCATTTCCTATGGTAGGGGTGGGGACTTGGTCCTGCCTCAACTTAATGAGCTAGGCCTTATTGACTCCCCATGGGAGGCCTTACCCTTTCTGTTGAGTGGATGGGGGGTAGGCTAGAGGGTAGGGGTGGTCACAGGAGGAGGAGTGATGTGGGATCCCCTCTGTATGCTGTGAATATGTTTCATCACCACTGGCTAATAAAGAAGCCACAGACTTCATATCAGATACCACCTTACGCTTATGGCTTAATATGAGATACCGCTTTAAGCTTATGACGGTAGTACTATAAAACGACAAACACTCAGATGAGAATTGTGTGCGGTCCTCATTATTTGGCAGTCACAGTGAATAATCCCCGCTGAGGATGAAGGATGAGAAGCAAGTCCTACAGCACGTGGAACCCGAGGCATGATCTGAATCACGAAATGCCACCACAAGTGGGCCCTCTTAGAAAATACAACAGATGTGAATAAAGGAACCAGAAGGATGAGGCAGGAGGATCACTGTTAAGTCTGAAGTCAGTGTGAGGTTCATGGTGAGTTCTAGGACAGCCTGAACTCTAGCTCAGGAGGGCCCGGACCCAAACACTACCACCACTGACTACAATAGGCCAGGAAATGTTTTTGTTCATCCAAAGTAAAAAATAAGAAACATAGAAATGAAAGTATGCCCCCCCCCCAAATTTTCTATCCACAAACTACTATTTATGAAAGTAAAGATGAGAGACAATGTTTAACGGGAAGATTGACAGGGGCGAAAGAATAATGTTCTTGACTCTGTACCTCATCTGAACACCCAAAAAGGACCCAAATTCACTGTGATCACCTGGCTCCCTGCCGTGATGTACACATCATGATCACCCCCTCCTGCCCTGACACACACACTGTGATCACCCCCTCCTGCCCTGACACACACACTGTGATCACCCTACTCCCCACCCTGACACACACACCATGATCACCCCCTCCTGCCCTGACACACACACACCGTGATCACCCCCTCCTGCCCTGACACACACACTGTGATCACCCCACTCCCCGCCCTGACACACACACTGTGATCACCCCCTCCGGCCCTGACGCACACACTGTGATCACCCCCTCCTGCCCTGACACACACACTGTGATCACCCCCTCCTGCCCTGACACACACACCGTGATCACTCCACTCCCCCCACCCTGACACACACATTACACTTCAATGCACTTCCGTCCAGCATCAGTGAACAAATCACCTGAAGTCTTGTCCTCCATGAACATGTCGAAAGCAATTCTTCCCACGGGGCCAGCATCTGCGGGGGAGCGCTCATGCTGGGGCACGGGGGCGCTGCTAAACGTGTCCAGCATGACTGTCCTCTGGTCAGCAGAGCCCGAGATGAGGACGTTGTCAATGGCCCAGTCATTCTGGTCTAGGCCGTCATGTCGCGGCTGCCACCAGCGGAAGCGAGTAGCAATCTCTTTAGCATCGGGAGGGAGGAGGATGTTCACGAACCTGATGGAAAATGACGAGGGTGAGAAAAATGTACAGGTTAAATATTTCATACGAGGAGACCTGAAATAGCAATGAGCTGTTGTGTGTCCCAAGGCAGTGAAGTGAAGACATTACCTAAAACTGTGTGTGTGTGTGTGTGTGTATGTGTGTGTGTATGGATGTGTGTGTGTGTACGTGTATGTGTGTGTATGGGTGTGTGTATGTGTATGGATGTGTGTGTATGTGTGTGTATGGGTGTGTGTGTGTATGGGTGTGTATGTGTGTGTGTGTATGTGTGTGTATGGGTGTGTGTATGGGTGTGTGTATGTGTATGGATGTGTGTGTGTACGTGTATGTGTGTGTGTATGTGTGTGTATGGGTGTGTGTATGTGTATGGATGTGTGTGTATGTACGTGTATGGGTGTGTGTGCGTGTATGTGCGTGTATGGGTGTGTGTGTGTATGTGTGTGTGTATATGGGTGTGTGCATGTATATGTGAGTGTATGTGTGTGTGTCTGTGTGTATGTATGTGTGTGTATATGGGTGTGTGCATGTATATGTAAGTGTATGGGTGTGTGTGTGTGTATACAGCTGCATGTGCAAAGATGTATGTTGGCAGATAGAGGGCAGAGGTCGATGTCGAGGGTCTTCTCCAATTGCTCTCCATTTTTCCAGACAGTGTCTCTCACTGCTGCCCTTGGTGCTCCCAGAATGACTGGCTGGATAGAGAACTCCAGGAATCCTGTTTACCTCCCTTATTGGGATTACAGGCGGGTACTGCCTGACCTGGCTTTTAAACCATGGATACCAGGGATTCAGTTCAGTTTCTCATGTGCCTGCACAGCCCGCGACACAAACTAAAAATAGTTTTATTAACTATTTGAGAATGTCATACAATGCATTTTGGTCATAATCCCAACTCCTCCCAGATACACCCCCACCTCCCTCTCCTTTTTTAAATATAACCTGTCGATTCCTGGGTGTGGACCCTGATTAACTGGCTTCGTTTTACAAGTTGTTAAACTAGAGAAACAGAATGTAAACAATACGCAAATCCAACAGCTATCTGAGTTGCTCGTAGACCTTAGACATTCTTCATTCCTTGCGAGGTAACCGTAAGTCTACAGTCAAGATTGACTTTATTTTTCCTGTCACATAAGTGTTATTTTCGCTCTCTTTCTTCCTTGGCTTTGTTTTTACTTGAATCTGCTAAATACCAGCAAAAGGCTTGCAATATGGATACCAGTTGTGATAGAGGGTGCTTGAGCCTCAACCTGAAGGTAATCAGGCCGAAGTTGCCTGTGGTATGGATAATGCTTTGCGAATGTGCTTCAGTGAATGCAGGGAAAGAAATACTGAAGGAGAGAGGGGCAAACACATTCAGCATGTCTTCTGACTCAGTCACCAAGGACAGATAGCTTAATGCTCCAATACAAACCTCCTCATGGAGAAATGGGACTTACATTTACAATTTAAAATACCCATTGAAAGTCAGCAATAGAACCACAGATTTGGTTTATATCCAGAGCTCACAGGGCTTGAAGGAAACAATTTCTTCAGTTTTCAACCTGTGCAGAGATCACGGCCTTTTTAAAACCCGTTTATCCACCTGTCTTTCAGCCTCTTAGCACTAAAATTCCTGTAAATTAATCTCAGATGGATCCTAAAACTGTAATAATAGTTGCTTGAATCTTTGACTTTCTCGTTAAAGAGGTTTAACTCATTTCCTTTTGTTAACATGGCATTTTCTTGTTGATTTTTTTCTTTTTTGGTGTTGCGGGCCATGCCAGACAAGCACTGTACCCTGAGCTACCTGCTTGGCCTTCCTGCTGCTCTTTTGTGCCTTCTAGGTGACAAGGGTCCAGCATAGCAGGTAGCATTCTGGACTGGGACCAACTAGGATGCGTGTGAGGGCTTCTAACCCTTCAATCTGTACATTCTTTGGACCGTGGAACACTGGTGAGTGCCCTAGGGCAGGAAAATGTGAACCCTTCATCCTCAGTTATGTAGTTACTGGGTGCTTGGAGACCTGCAGCTTTGAGGCAGGCCTCTCCAAATTTTATTTCCTCGTATCGCGACGCTTTAAAGTCCCTCTTCCCACCTCTTCTTTTCAGTCATGACTTCAATGTGTGGTGTGCATGCATGTGTGGGTATGTG